CAGGATCTGAGATGTTTAATGGAGGGAGGGGAGAAAGTCTCAGCAAACTGAAAGCCAAAATACACAGTATGAGATCTGCTTTTGAATCATCCTCAATGTTTCTTTGTTAATATTGTTGAATTGTTTTTATAAAAAGTTTTTCTTTCTTTTTTTCTTGCTAGCTGTTGCACTTTTGACTTTCTTGCAAGACTGCAAAGCCATCTTAAACCAGATTAAAATGGGATTTATTTGACTACTTGAGTTCAGAGTCAACATTCGGTTGACACATTTTGTTGCCTATCATATTTTTATGCCTTTTTTTAATAATTTGAAAAAAAATTCTAGTATAAATAGTTCATTGCAAGCACCCAGTCACTGGAAGGCAGGGCAAATGCTCCTACGTGCACGAGGCGAACGGAGAATTTAAACTGGACTATTTTACATATAGATGAGTCAAATCAGTGTTTTATTATTATTATTATCATCACTGAATCCTGCAGTTTTAATAGAGTATTTATTGTGGAAATAAATGCGAGCTATTTAGCAGCTGCAATTTGTCATAAAAACACCTTCACAATTACCTTTTGTTGATTTTTGTTGTTCTTCCTCTTTGCCCTTCAGCTCAGTTTCATTAAACCTAAAACTGTTCGGTGAAAGAGACGGAAAACAACCCGACAGGTTCAGCAGCGCTTTGCGAACACTCAGAATCTGATGCAGGCTAGACGTGACGCTTGTGCCAGAATTAAATGATATTCAAGTCACACTTATTAGAGAGTTAAGGGGACTTTTTTAGTTTTTTCATAAACAACAGAATAGAGGGCTTCCAGTGTAGGGCACTGGTACTTTCTTTACATTATTCAACAGGGACAGAATACACACAGGTTGAAAATGTTGTGATAAAAACGTTGAGAAGAGGGATTTACAATATCTGGTCAACAACTGGTGTAACAATTTGCACATGTTTATTTTTGTTAATGTCTTCTCCGATCTCTGAGACATGTCAACTTCCAGGATGGTTTCGGTTTATAATAAAATGTCGCACTTCCTCCTCTATCCCATTTTCTTACCATTTCAAGAATTTTTATTATATTCTTTGTCTCATTTTAACTAATTTTAAAATTAAAATCAACAATATTGTTGTTTTTTTGGAGCACTTTGAGCAAAACTATTAGCCAACTCATTTCCTTCTCTAGTATGTGCAGGAATCCTTACTAGTTTGATTTGAGAGCCATAATTTTTAATCCTAAAAACTGAGTTATATCCAATACAATATCTTTCCTTGATTTTGAATTTACCTCCTGAATCCTTGTTATAGCACGACTGGAAACTGAACAAATTATAACCATCTTCTCTCTAACGTCTTCATTCTAAAGCCCAAGTTTTTTAATTAGTCTTTTCGTAGTTGTTTATTTCTTGTTCATTCTTTATGTCTCGTTATTGTTTATCACTCTCACCAGCTCTCTTGTCAGCGTTGCTCTCTCTCCCTCAGCCTGCCTGCCCGGTCCCGTCTCTCAGCTGAATCAGCCACCGGTCACTCTCTTTCAGTCACTCCCTGCTGGTTTCTTCTGCTACCTCTCCCTTCGATATTTGCAGGTTCTCTCTGCTTTTTATTGGGAGGAAACGCCAGCGCAATCCACACTCCGAGCTCTCGTCTGCATTCTGCTCGTAAAAAGTAGAAATTTATTATCGTCCTTAAAGGCAAGGAGACCCATAAATCAGCGACAAAAACGCTTCTCAGCTAAATGTTAGTCCCAGCTGAGCATAAAGCTAATTTTGAACATTGAGTCGAATCTCCTTGTCGATAATCCTCAGATCGATGCGAAGCTCTTCGATCATTCACCGTTTTAAAAGAATATCTTCAGAGTTACCAAGCTAGTAAGTTTGATTTTAGCATTAGCTCTGTTGCTAAGCTGGTATTGTTTTCGTAAATAGTTTTTTATGTGTCCTGTCCCGACAGTTTGGGCAAAGTAGAACAAAATGTCAAGAGGGGGGATCATGAAATGTTGCCCCTGTTGCACAATTTACTTTACGCAGTTAGAGGGACGATAACCCGCATGTTTCAGGGAACCAAGCAGACCGCCGAAAACAACTGGATCTACACTGGCATGTACCGCTATGTTGTTGGACTCAGTGGTAGAAATACCACAAGTTGGTTCAATGTGGTACCTCTTTGTGTGGACACGCACTTGTTCTGTATGTGTGTGTCTGATCAGTGACAAACATTCAAGTGTGAAGTTGGTCAAGATGAGATGAGTTTTGGAGAAGGGGAGACAACGACAAGGTGTTTATTTATTTAACACCTTGAAATTGGGCCTCTGTGTCTTTAAGAAAGCCCTGCTCAGTCCATCATCACAACGTTGATCCTCTATTAACCCTTTGACAACATTTTTACCAGAATTTCACAGAGAAGCATAACAAGCTCAGAAGATTTCGTGCTCCACCAGGTGTTTTTGCTGCTGGCTAGTCTGAAGGAGCTCAGCTTACGAACAGATTAGCTCATCAGATCATCTGTTCATGAGAAACAACAGAGTAAAGAATTTCTCAAACGTGTAGGTGGGAATCAAAGCAGCATTTCAGGTATGTTTTTGATGAGGGAATAACATCATTATAACGACGTAAAGCTAAAAAAAAGTTGACTTTACACACTACTGCCCCTTTAAGGAGGAGGAAATGTAGGATTTTGTGGTTCTCAAATATCTCCATCCATTCGCTAAAGCAGCGAATTTCTGTCGTAAGGGTTCTTGTGCCTTTCCTTGAACGGAGCTGCTTTCACTTCACTTGAGAAATAAACGAGAACCGAGGCTAAACCCACCTGGAACTCGGCTGAGAAGAGAGAGACGGATGGAGGAACTGACAAGCAAGAGCAATTGAAATACGGTGTGAAGTTGAGCCCAATTTTTCTGTTCTTCATTGATTCACCATTATCTCAGGACCCTGATCATCTCAACACTAACATATGAGCGCTGAGTTTTAGGCGAACCCCAATGTGAACCGAAAGGAAGCCAAAGATTTTTTTCTTTCACAAGCTCAGCAACAAAAACACAGTCGGGCAAACTGAGACATCTTACAAGCATAAGGGGAATTTTTTTTTCTTGGTTTCTTCAGCCCGTTTTAAAGTATGATGAAATTGTATGATTATCTGATGTAGACGAAGGGCATAGTTAAACATCCCCTGCTGAAGGAGGATTCATCCTGGGGCCAAACCCCGGTGAGTTCGGGACCAATTAAGCCAAAGTAATGAGCTTTTACCAAAGCAAAAACGACATAATTCTGTGTTAGCACGTAGCGGGCGGAACGTGGTCGACGGGGAGGAAAAGGCAAAAAAAGAGGACAAAATCAGAAATAACAAGGCGTGTGCAGCTGCGTAGGATTTAAAGCCATGTCTGTGTGCAATGAGAAACAGAAGGAAGCAAATACATTTTATGAATAAAAACATGGCGGAAGACAAGTCTCTCCAACAAATCACGTCGTCAAATTAATATACTCAACAAACTGCTTTCCACTTCTGAGCCACCTTGAGAGTATCAGCAGTTTGTATTCTTGTCGTGCGAGGAAATTCGATTGTCAAATTATTTTCGAGTGTGGCGTTGTAAAACACTTTACTTATGTAACTCCACATGTGGCACATTTCTCCTGAGACCTGGCCGGCTGGCTGACGTGGCGGCGTTGTGTTTAGATGTTCAGGCGCTCGTTGTTTGTGGAGCGTCTTTCATTTTTCATTTTGACCCAAGAGGAGGGAACCACACTCCCTGAAAACGCCTTTGACGGTTCACGTGTAGCTCTGGAGCTAACAGAAACGGTTCGAACTCGACCAATACCATCCGTGTGACAATCTGAGCATGTTTCCATGGTCGGACGTGAAAATTATGTCAATGAAAAAAAGCTAAAATGGGAAATAATAAAGCATATTTTCAAAATGTCAAATTGCTCTGCTGGGTAGCAAGCCTGACTTTAGCTGTGGCGCTGATGCTAAGCTAGTCGAAGTTGAACACGAGCTCAGCGTAAGCGTCATCAAAATCTTCAGTTAAATTTGTTGCCACAATGAAGTAGCTAAGTTAATTTGTGCAATATACTTTCACAATCTAATAATCCTGATAAAAATTCAAATAATTTTAATAACCGATTTTCCATGGATTAATAGATTCATTTATTGATGTAGCTTAGCCGAATCTCCATGATTAGGAAAAGTTTGAAAGCACCTTGAACAATTTCAGTAGCTCAATGCATCTCGATGTGTTACAAATGAAAGGTTAGTTTATTCTAGTGATTCGGTTCAAAAAGTGAAACGCATAAATACATGTCAAACACGGTTTTTATTTACACGATTCATTCTTCCACTCAACTCTCTGTGGCCATGTTAACTAGCCTCAGCATAAGTGGCACACAAGACAGAGAAGCTGTAGCATGTACACAAGGATGATTGGCTGACAGGCAGGCTATTTCTGCATTTAGCGTTGAGTCATGGAAGGAGATAGAGGAGCTTGTTTTTTGGTTTATGTATATTTATATAAAGTTTGACTTCATGGAAATATTTGTGGAATACCTTAAAATGATCATCTGTTGCAAGCGGAAGTAGAATTATTGCTCTGGTCGATCCTCTCTATGCGGATGTTTGCGACATATTATTATTTTTGTTCTATTTACATGTGAAGTGTTTCCCATGTCCGCCCTCCCCCCCCCCTCGCCCTCCCCCTTTCCCTCCTCCCCTCCTCCCGCGCGTGCTCCCCGCAGACCTGTCAGTGTGCAGCGCGTGAGTCGGAGCGGGGCTCGCCGTTGATCGCGCGCGGCTTGTGCAGGTGTCATTGTGGCTGTAAAGCCGGTAGGAGGGACTTGATGCTCCAACTTCTCTGGGCATTTTTTTTGTTTGTTTTTTTTTTGTGTGCATCTTTCCGGCTCTCCAGACAGCCGTCCTGGTCCTGTTCGAGAGAGAAAGAGAGAGAGAGAGAGTGAGAGAAACAGAGAGAGAAACAGAGAGAGCGCGCGCGAGAGAGGAAGAGAGAGAGAGAGAGAGCTAGCGCGCGAGGCGACGACGGGCATCGGCAGCGCCGCATTTCGTGGGAACACACAATGCATCTGAGGCTGACCGAGCGACTGGAAACTGTTTTTTACCGCGCTCTCCTATTTTCGATCCGCGTTTCTTTCCCGCATTTATTCATTTTTTGATTTATTTATTTGTGTTGCGTCTTGCCTGTCTTTTTTTTTTTTTGGTCCTTCTTTTAATTTTTACCTCCTCCTCCTCCCTCTTCTTCTTCTTCTTCTTCTCCTTCTTCTTTTTTTCCTCCCACCCAGCAGCCTCTGACGCGCAAGGACACTACAGCATCCATCCGCGGCAGGGACGCTAACACAGAGCATCCTCTGTACAGGCGCACCAGCCGTCCGTCCGTCCTTCCTTCCTTCATTCCTTCCTTTCTCTCTTACCTTCCTTCCTCCCACTCTCCTCCTCTTTCTTGTCTTTTCTCTCCTCGTCTCTTGTTTCCGTCGGAACCCAGAGGACATCGGGAACCCTCGCTTTATACTTAACCCCCCTTCTTCCTCTCCACCCACCCACACACCCACTTTTTTTTTTCCTCCCTCTCTCTTCCTCCCCCCCCACCTCCCCTCACTCCACGCCGCCTCCTCTCCTCTCCTGTCCTCTCCTCTCCAAACGGGAGACATGGATCTATGGTTTCGCTCGGTCCGGATCTGCTGGTGGAGGGTTTTGCTTCTGATGAGTGTTTTCCAGGACTATCTGAGCTCCATGCTGGACTGCCCGCCGACCTGCAGCTGCTCCCAAACAGAGATCTATTGCAATAAGTCGGACAGCGGCCGGTTCTTCCCGCTGCTCGCCCTGCAGGACACCGGCGGCAACGGGACCGGCGTGGACATCGCGGACTTATTCAAAAACATCACCTCTATGTAAGTGGCTGCGGATTATGCTGCGCGTTTCTGAATCATTAATTGAGTCCCCCCACCACACACAGACACACACACACACACACACACACACACACACACACACACACACACACATATCAGCCCCCCCCCACCTTTCCAAACCCATCCCTCCTCTACTTCCTGTCTGTTGCTTTCCTCGCTCTGATCAGACTTGTTGGCTTCCTATGTCTTTCTCAGGAGACTTTTTTTCAGTTTAGAGTGGTATTTAAATTAAATTTTTTTTAACGTCTAATTGAGTAAAAAAAAAAAAAAAAAGTTCTCTTGGTGAATCATCATGAAACCATATCAGGAAGTGTATTTTTTTATTTTTTCTGTACGTCTGCGTCCACGTAAAGTTGCATCTCCGCAGCAGCATCAGCAGCATCAGCAGGCCTGCACATCCAAGCTGTGGCAGTGGTGTGTGTGCGTGTGTGTGTTGCAGAGAACCTCGCATCACTTCATCTCCCCCCCTCTCCCGGGTTTCTGCTCCTCTCCCACATACGAGTGGAAATACAAAAATAAAAATGCAGAAGGGTCAGCAGCTCCATCTTGGACCTTCTTCATGAAAACTTTATCAGATGATGATGATGATGATGGAGATGGAGATGAACGCTCACTTGTGGCTCTCCGATTTAGCAGCTCGACACGGAGCGCCTATGATGACGGCAGACTATCAAACCGCCCCGCACTCCCACACACCCGCAGAAGTAGCTACATTTTTATTCTACATCCTCTCCCTCTCTCCTCTCTGGCATCGATCCCTCCTCCCAACATCAAAGCTTTCTTTCTTGAAAAGTCAGAGGAAGAAGTGGGGGGTGAGGGAAGGGATGGAGAGGGGAAAAAAAAGACATACCCTTAAAAAAAAAGAAGAAGAAGAAAAAAAAAGACCCCCGGTGTCGTTGAGGCTGATTTGCATAGAAAGTAAACACCTCCCGTTAACGCAGCGGAATTCCCCGCGCGGCTTCCTCCTCCAAAGGATTTTTTTTTTCTCGCTCTCTCTCTCTTTTCCTCCCATCAGTGTCTTTGGCGTCCCGTTTACCCTCCCACCGTGTTATTATTTTTTGATTTTTCCGTATGAACATACGACAACTCACTCAGTGCCACGGTTCACCGCCTCCCCGGACCACTAGAGGGTAGCCTGGTACCCCTTTACGAACGCGTTCTCTCCTGCCACAACACAAGGAGTCATTGACGTGACTGTTTTATCAGAAGGGAATTCGCTGCGGCTCGTTCGCCAGAATGAGCCGCAGCAATTTCTCCTTTTCTTCTGATGTCACACTCGGCTGCATTAAGTCAAAAGGTGGGACGGTCAGAGGTAATCACTGTTAGTGATTAGCGTGACCGCAGGATGACCCACGCATACAGATTAACTCACTGCCGAACCTGCTCCGTTCCTTTCACTCTCGGCCACTAACGTCCGGAAAGCGTCTGGTTCTTGGTTGTTGCAATGGTCACTCTCTTTGACCCCCCCAAAAAACATCAACAGAAAAACAAAACAAGCTTTTGGTGGGTATTAAATATTAGCCACGGAAATTATTTAAATTTTAATGAGGCGAAACAGTTGGTGCCGAAAAGCAAGAGGCTTGACTTTACACCTGTCTTTCGATTTAGCCTGTTTGATTCTCATTTGGTAGAAGCAAACAAAACGTTTGATGTAAATGTTTCTAAGCAGATGTGCAACCAGGCGTGGAGAAAAAATATCCCAGTGTGCGCCATATTTAAACGTATTTGGATATTTGTCATTTTTGACAACACTAAACAATGTAAAAGTCATAACTACTGTAGCTAAATCTTCAGTGAAATGCATGAAAAACACTATTTCTGGTAAGGCATAAATGAGGACAACCCCAATGTTTATTCCCACTTAAATTGGCTAAAATTGCACACAGAATCAGATTAGGTTTACATAGTGAAAACGCTGCTGCTCATCATTTTTGGAAGACCTATTTCAACCTCAGACGATTAGCTTGGCATGCTCTTGACATCATTTTTAGAAAGAAGACCTTGTGTTGCCTGGTGAAGCATTCAAAGATGTCAAAGAATTTCAGTCGTTCTATTGTCTGCAAAAAAGAGTCTATGAGCGGAAGACCTTCAGGACAGCTGCCAACTAACTCTGGTTCGGCTGTCCAGTCACGTTTACCCTGAGAACAGGCCTTAAGATGCTTAAAGAAGTCTCCAAAAAGAGAAAACCCTACTGCAGCAGTCTCTAAGAAAAACACAAGGACCAGAGTAGAGTTTGGCAGAGAGAGTGTAGACAAACACCCAGGACTTTAGGAATATTGCTGTTTGAGTAAATGAGTGTACGGCTTAATAACTTGGACACCAGACAAAATGTCTGACACAAACCAAATGCAGTCAGACAGAAAAAAGGAGCTACAAAGGCGAAGCACGGCGGTGGGACTGGTTTGGGAATAGTTTGTAGCATCAGGCCCTGGTTAGCACAATTCTTTTGCGCATCAGAGGACGCTTGGGGGAAAAAATGACATCTTTTTTGCAGAGCTGGAGTTTGTAGCAGGACGGTGATCCAGAACACATCAGCAAATCCACCAAAAACTGGCTGTGAGTTTTTTTAAATGGAAGGTCCTGGCTCAAGTCAAAGCCAATATGTTGGTTTTTGCAAAATGTTGGGAGACTTTTAATGGGCTGGACATGGAAATGTGCCTTTAAATATCTGCAAGGAAGGAGGAGTGGGGCAAACCCTTCACCAGACTGATGGCAGAGATTGTAAATGGCTGTTAGGAATATGTCACTGAAGTTATATAAACTTTTTTTCTCAACTGGATGCAATAAATAACATGTAATAACATTGTCATCCTCTACAAATGATGGTTTAGATCTATGGTCTGTGTTCCAGTTAAACCATTTCAAGGGGCCCCTGAATGGCCCCTACCAGCAGCTACTGAGTTTTCTTTGCCTTGATATATTCAGTCTTATAAGTCTAGATCTCGGAGATGCTGACATCAAAAAGTTACATGGAGTTAACCCCTTTTTGATCTATAAATCACTTTGGAGCCAGGTTGTTCTGGATGTCTGATAGATATTATTAGGCCTTAATTAGTAAAATGGCAGCAAATTTGCTTATGTTACAGGACTGTCAGTGGCAGAAACAGCAACATTACACATATCAAGGAAAACGTTACATTTGCTTTGCATTTCCCTGCTTGATGGCAATGATATAGTTGGATCCAATTCAATTCTGGATTAATACGGGTTGTTGCTATGTTGTTGTACGGCGTTTTAAGAGCTTGTTCAATGTGCCCCTTTTTTTTAACTTTGAGCCCCCCGGCCCTCCAAAGACCTCAGCACGGCCCTGATCCCACACTTTGATTAATCCTACTAAGTGCGGGATATTGACAGTCAGCAGGTCGTGCCGGCTGTTTTTTCCTCCCACTGTTCAAAAACCACATTTTGTTTCTTTATCCTTGTTTACTTTATTGATTCAAACAAGATTGTTTTTACTGGCGTTATTCAGCTGACAATGTGTGTGAGCTATGTCTAAATGTTCGATTTAGCTAGAAATGGGTATGTTTGCTCTTTCTGAGTCGCTAGTAGCTCTCGCAAATTAAAATACAATATATCTCCATGCTGAAAAGGTTTCTGTACTGGAACAAGATGAAAAGTGTTTCATCCAGCTTTAACTGCTTTAAACGCTGCATTACTGCTGAAGTCAAATTGCGAGCTGAGGTTCTCAGTCACTGCCAACAACACGTGTTAGCTGGAGATGGATTACAGGCCTTCTCATAAGAATAATAATTATAATAATGTTACATAAACATCATTTGTTTAGTAAGAAATATGGATTAAAATCAACCAGACTTGTATGCAGATTAACTTCGAACCAATTTTACTATATGTATAAAAAATATACTTACTACAATCAGTTTTGTTTTGTCAGTGTACTCCTTTCTAGATAAACGCAGTCACGATCTGATCGTCTTGTTTGTCTTTGAGAAAACCCATTGCGACTGACCCAGGACTAATTGTGCATTCCTAGTCGGCCAGCTCGCCCTGTTTTCTCCGTCGTCCTTTGCTACTCAGTATGGACAGCGGCGTCCGTCCAGCGGCACCACCAGCAGCTCAATGACGGCCCATCAGAGACCACGCCACCCAATGTCACACAGCCCAACACATCTGCACCAGTCAAACTGAACGCCTGCAGTCCGAGCAGCAAAAAACCGGTGGAAGTTTTGGAGTTTTTGTTGATTTGTTTCGAGTTATATTTTTAGCCATGTGTTTCAAATAACTTCCAGTATGGAAATGGAAATTTGGTAAATGCTAACTAGGTCATTTAGTAGGCGCAAGGTGGCGGAAAAGTAAATGCTGACGCCTGGTTTAATGAACCAAAAGCTGCTAGAACCTGGAAAGCTTGTGATCTCCTTGTGATATATACTGATATATGTTAACACCAGTGACGTGTGGTGAGGGTCATAGCCGGTGAGGCACTGACTTAATCATAATCATATTCACAAATATGGGCCTCCTGCATGTTATTGATTACATGAGGAAATTTCGTGCACGCGGACGACGCTGGAGGGCGAAATAGACTTCACGTGTCATCCACAGCTGCGCTGCCGCCGTAGAACGATTCTGTTAACTCAATCAAACTCAGACATGTAAATATTATTGTCGCGCTCTGCTCCACAGCAAAGGGAAAAACCGTTAAAGTACAACTCAAAACCACGTCTCAGACTTGTTGCCATAGCAACTGACAACAACGCCACCCAAAAAAAAAACACTGAAATATTTCCCATACAAAGAGCAGAACATTCGGTCTGTTGCAGTAGTATGGTTTTAGGCTTAAACAATTACTACTTAGGCTTAAACACTGGACATTATATACATAAACTAAATGATGGAAAATCAGTTCATACATTAAATGTTTTTAGCCATTTTATTGGTGACCAGGAGGAGTGTGCTCCCATTGAATGGCAGCCAGTCACAGAGGTTGATCAATCCCAGGTGAGGCTCAGCTCACTGCTGCC